TAGGGTTGGGGTTAGGGTTCCTCCTTGGAGGAATCCTTGGAGGAAACCTTGGAGGCTGCCCGAATCAGAAGAAGTTTTGGTTGCTGCGACTGCGTTGGCAGAGCCCCCGACACAAACACACCCTATATATGGGTGTTTTCTTGCCAGCCTAGTGACACACAGCACGCTGACAAAGAACTGTCCCTGTTGTGCTGCAGMTCTGTCCGCTCGTGAGCGTGGCCTGTGTTCCAGGTTCCTAAGTGACTATATATGTTTTTTCATTAAAGCTATGTGAATGCCCTAAATCAGGCTGTGATAGACTCGCTGCATCGACCTGAAGTTCTGTGGCACTTGCTGATTTGTGCTTGCCCTGAAGGCAGATTTACAGGGCTCTGAAGGCTGCAGGGCCTTCTCCTAGCAGCTCAGGAAATAGCCAAATATTTCACAAAATGGAAGATAGATCTGGAATGTATGTATTACAACATTTCTGTCAGGTTGTTGGAAAAGCATTTGCTGTTTACCTGAATTTTCAGTCTGTTTCCCTGTTCATTCTTAATATTAAGTTTCTCATTTAAAAAAAAAAAAAAAAAGTCTGTATTTCAGAAAAGAATAATTTGTTTTTTAATCATTTATTTATAAAAGGTATTCCTGGGACCTTAATTCTGCATTCGTGTTAAGTGGATGAGTGCTTAGTTTTGAGCTACGGTGGAAAAGCTTGGAAAAGCTCCAGAGARATACTTACTTTGCAAAGCAGGGTTTACTTGAGATGAAACACTGCGTATCTGGTGATTTCTTTTCTTCCTAATCCTAACTGTAATGTGTAGTTGCAAGTTGTAGATCTCTGTCTACTCGCTGACCTGAACTCGTTTTGGGGGTTGGATGCTGCCCTGTGTTTCACCTTTGCTTATCTTTGCAGACCATAGAAAAGGATTATCTYACACAGAGAAGAGAATTCCCACCTTCTGCACTGGAAATAACACAAAACGCCCTTTTCCTGTTCTGTGAGAAAATTTTTCCATGTTATCAGTACTTGTAAGGGCAACAAAATAATCTAATTAACTATGAAAGCCATCAGCACTAATGCTAAGTGGCGTTCTTAARCGTTTACATCATCTTCCCCCCATAAAAACAAGCTCCACATTATTTGTGGTGCGGAGCAGACTGTGCTGGGCTAGGTGTATTCCTGCACCGTGCCAGGTGTATTGTGCACCAAGGAGGAGAATACAGCGGTGGCATCGAGCAACACCAGTGCCCCACGGAACAAAACGGCCTGCAAAGCAGAGAGCAGAGCCCCAGGAGCAGGCAGCTCCATCACCCTTCTGGGAGACGGGCATTTATCTCATCTCAGCAGATCTGTTGCTCCTCACTGCATTGTAAATACAGTAGACAAGTACAGGCCAGGCCTCAGATTGTATCTGGCTGTGGGTGACTGCAATTTAATCAGCGTTTTGTCTGCTGCTCCTTGGTACTTTGCATTTGGGTAGGAACTGGAGCCCACTGTTGCACTGGTATAAACAGTGCTACCTCTTAGACTTGCCTTTGGAAAGCAAGAACAAGGAAGCTCAACACTAGACTTATCTGCAGCAACACAAGTCCAAATAATTTTGGTTATTTTTTGGCTTTGAAAGACAGAAAACCCTGTCATTCTGCCTCCTACCCCAGGCCACAGGTATTTCTCTGTCAAGCCTTCGTGCTGTGCTTGCAGTGTGTGTCCTTTGTTTACATACCTGCTTGAAAGTTACCCCTGGAGCAAGTGTTTTGTTTTCTAAGGATTTCTAATAACTGCTCAAACAAAACAAGAGAGTACATGAAAAAGTAGAAGATTTTGAAACTTTTGGAGAGTTCAGTCTCTGTGAGAACTGAGCTTCCAGACACAGTTTTCCAGATGTTTTATAGTTACTTATTGAATTAGCAAAAATTAATAGACATGCAGCAGCAAAAATTAGGAGCTTGTGAAAATCCCCCTAAGCCGTTATCTGCCTCCTTAGGCAGCTAAAATCCTTTGAAAATCCGGGCTATGGGCCCACTGCTGCAGAGCTTTCTCTGTGCAAAGACTCCTACTCTTGCCTTGAGCTCATTGCAAGACAGGTATTTTAATAGCCGGGGCTTTCAAAACAGCCTAAGGCAGCCCGGAAAAAATTAATAAGCAGCAGAGGCACGAGCGCTCAGGTGAGTGGCTTTGGAGACTTTACAGAGACGGAAATTCAGCTGAAAAGTGAGGACCAGAGACTGATATTTTACCTAACTTCAGGTCAGTTCTGCTTTTACGAGGCTTTGGGGACAGTCGCTTCTCTGCAAAAGGGGTCCCRGCTCCCCCCGGTGCTGCTCCGCTCCCCTTTGCACGTGCTGAGGTCTCACCATGTGCCGGGAGTGAGCATGTGGGCATGTGGTAGAGATAAAAACTACCCTAGAGTGCAAAATACTGGTTTCATTGTCATTGCTTCTTTTTTCCTTATTTTTTTTAACCTTATTACTCTCAAAGAACTCTTTGATTAATGTGGGATCTTAGCTCTACCACCCACATATTATCCTAGGGGAAAAAAAATAAAGTTTGGAATAAATGCGGCACTTAGCAGAATCTGTGCTTTAAAAAAAATATTGAATATTAAATACTGTCTTGGCAAAAAGCTACCGAAGGGGTTTGATCTTGCAAGCCCGTCTGTGCAAAGGCTTCTAGTGGGTTCATGATGGGTACAAGGGATCTATTCATGACAGGTTATTTTAAAGCTTATTTTTATTGCATCCTCTGCTCGCATCCTGCACGTTTGGGGTGCCTGGTGCTGCCTGGTGCCTGGGGAGCAGCCCAAAGGCCGGGGCTCATGCAGCCCCTTCCCAGGGCTCGCACCGAGGCCGCGTCCCCAGAGCCGCCTCGCTGGCGGCCCGGCCTCCRGGACCAGCTTTGCTTTTAACCAGCTTTGCTTTTAGCTCCGGGGTTGTCGCTGGCCCTATTGGCACCCTGCGGGCTGACACCTGGGTGTTATTTTGAATACGGTGAACCCAGGGTGCCAAGTTGTGAATCCAGGTGTGGAATTTGCCAGGCTGCTGAGAGGAGACATGGATTACCGAGCCGTGGTCCTCCTTTCCTCCTCCTCATGAGAGGATGCAGAGGTGCAGGTCAGCTGCAGTGGCCAAGGGACCCTGGGCAGGGCACATGCCTTCCGGCTGCCCCAAAGGACCTCCTGGTACCTGCAGAGTGCACATGTACCTCCTTGCATTGACTGTGCCTTGTGTGGCTGAGGGATGGAAAACGCATTCCCACGCATTTCCTTTCAAGGCCTACCCTGCATCCACTTTTTCTCTATTGGTCCCTGATTTTTTAATTAATTTTTATGACACTGAAGTGTTTGATACTGTTGTGACACTGTTCCTGCTGCCTCTAGTTCTGCAGCACCCAAGGCTGCTGTTGCACTGCTGGACAAAACAGGTATGAGAGCGTTGTTGTCTCCAGGCTGCTCGAGCGTGGTGGCTTGGCCTATGGCCCCCGTATTGTGTTGCCAGCACTTGGCAATTCTGCTGGGATGATTTCTTTTTTCTCTTGTTTCTTCTAAACATTTTCTTTTCATTGCATGCTAGCTTCAGACTGCCATGTGTTTATCGCTGCATATTTGGGCCGCCTCTCACTTTGACATTTTCTTCCCATATTCCTGTCACCAGTTGTTTTCTCTCCTGGCTTGTTTGCTCTCCAGGAGGGTTTGCAGCTGTTCCTGGACTAGTCCTAGTTGTCCACGACCATATCCTGTACTCGGTGCAGGACATGGTGCAGGACAGCACCGCACAGCCCTGTGTAGCAGCCCAACACTGCTCGCAAGGCAGTGGTGCCGGAAAACCCAGCAGATGCCAACGTGGGCGCCTTGGCCTGGAGTGCAGGTGGCCTCATCTCAGGTACATTATGGTGTGGGCCAAGGTGACCTCCCCTCGGGTGCATTGTGGCGACCTCCCTACAGGCACATTGCTGCGTGGGCCAAGGCGGCCTCCTCACGGGTGTATCGCAGCGGGGGCCAAAGCAGCCTCACTTGGGTGCATGGTGACTGGGCCAATGTGGCCTCTCCTTTGGCCTCCTGCCAAGGCAGCCTCCTCAGGAGYGCATCGCTGCATGGGGTGAGCCAAGGTGGCTGCCCCAGGGTGGTGGGGCCAGGGTGTGGGATGGGCCAGGGTGGCCTCCCCATGGACACATTGCTGCTCTGTGAGGGCCAACGTGGCCTCCCCAGGGACACATCACTGTGTCGGCCAATGTGGCCTCCCCATGGGTGCATCGTAGCTTGGGCCAAGGTGGCCTCCTCAGGGGCACATCACTGTGTGCGCCAAGGCAGCCTCCCCACCGGTGCATCACGATGCAGGCCAAGGCAGCCTCCTCACGGGCACATCCCTGCGCGGACTAAGGTGGCCTCCCCACAGGCACGTTGCGGTGGGGGCCAAGGTGGCCTCCCCACGGGCACGTCTCCGCAGGCCAAGGCAGCCTCCTCATGGGCACATTGCAGTGCGGGCCAAGGCAACCTCCCCACGGGCATGTTGCGGCAGGGGCACATCCCTGCACGGGCCAAGGTGGCCTCCCCACGGGCACATCTCCGCAGGCCAAGGCAGCCTCCTCATGGGCACATCCCTGTGCGGACCAAGGCGGCCTCCCCACAGGCACGTTACGGTGGGGGCCAAGGTAGCCTCCTCACGGGCACATCTCTGCGGGCCAAGGCAGCCTCCTCATGGGCACRTTGCAGTGCGGGCCAAGGCGGCCTCCCCGCGGGCACATCCGTGCGCGGGCCAAGGCTCTCCACGCACCGCGTTGCGAGGCTCGCGAGCGGCCGGCGGGCGCGGGCAGAGCCCGGCGGGGCTGCCCGCGAGGCCGGGGCGGAGGGGCGGCCCGGCCCGGCTCCGCGCTCCGCTCAATGGAGCGGCGAGGGGGAGGAGGCGGCGGCGGCATCATGTGATTGCCTGCGAGCGCCTTTAAAGCAGCCACATGCAGCCGAGCGGCGGCCACAATCTCGGCTCCGGGCGCAGGGGCAGCGAGCGCGGGGCTCGCMCGGACAATCAGTGCCGAGGCCGCCGCTCGCCCGGCCCCCAGCTCGGCCGCAGCAGCGAGGAGCGGGCGCGGAAATCTCGGCGAAAATGGCTGGGGCAATTATAGAAAACATGAGCACCAAAAAGCTGTGCATTGTCGGGGGGATCCTGCTGGTTTTCCAAGTCATCGCCTTTCTGGTGGGAGGTCTCATCGGTAAGTGCTGAAGGCGCAAACTTTCTCCGCGGCCGCCTCGCCCTGCTCGGCTACTTGTTACAGTATCGCTGACTCCCTCCATGAGCTCATTAACCCGCTATTGTGGCGGCGCGGGCCTCTTTGTGCGCGCCGAGGACGCGGCCGAGCAAAGTTTGCCGGCCTGGGGTGCGCTGGAGCCGGGGGAAGGGGAGACCCTTCAGCATGGCGACGGGCGGCGCAAGGAAGCCTCGTGCCGCAAAGTTGATATGTTTTTTATTTTATTTATTTTATCTATTTATTTTTAATACTTCCTTCTGCCTCCGCTGGCTGCGGCCGCGGGAGGAGAAGCCGCGTCGCTCCCGCGGGAGTTGGGAGCAATGGGGGGGTCCGGGCGCTGCCCTGAGGGGCTGCCCGTGTTTTATTGTCCTCCCCGCGCCCGCTCCGGCTCCCGGGGCGCCCCGAGGCCGCGGGGACGGGCGCCGGGACCCCGGCGCCCGTCCCCGCGGCCTCGGGGCGCCCCGGGAGCCGGAGCGACCCCGGCCCTTCCTCTTCGTGCAGCCTCCCGGGGCAAGTTTTATTCCCCCCGCCGTGATTTTCTGTGCTCCTGCGAGGACGTGGGGGTTGGAAGGAGGAAGATGGAGGAGATGCCGATGCCGGGGCAGTCCCGAGGAACGAGCGCGGGTGGAAAGCGGCGGAGCTGGCGCTTTGTGTCGGCGGCACCTCCTCGGGATACCCGGCACGCAACGTATATTGCACGCGTACATATACACAAGCGTGCATCCATATGTGTGCGTGTCTATAAATACATGGAGAGACTTGGCTGATCTCCACCGTGGAGCGGYGGAAGTCTCCCCAAGACGCAGAGGATTTCTGTGTCCCGTGGGGCTGGCTCCTTCTTGGACACAGCTCTGGCCTYGCTCCCTTGGCCAGGGCTTGCACGGGGACTCACCCGCTTGCCCAGGGTGGCTGCGCTCGGCCTCTGTGGCCCTGCTACCCGTTGGCTGCTTCCAGATACAGCATGTGGGCCATCCAAGTTATCTTCCCCCGAAAGGCCTTGGGGAAAACTTAGTACAGTTTTATTTGGGGAAGACCCTTGAGTTATTCCCCTGGTGATCTGTATTTTAGAGGCATTGAGGAAATTTTGCAGCCTGTTGCAGAAAATAGGCTTCCTAGGAATGCTTTGCATTTGCAATGTTCTGATTGCCAATTTTTTAAATACTGTTTGAATACTACTGAATATAAYTGTCAAGAACTGAGAAACTGAAGCTTTCCTGTTGTTTTGTTGCTTCTGTTTCTCACTTCTGGTTAATCACTTAATCTGAGACAAATGCTAGATTAAAACCCAGTTTTTCTGGTTTTGTGGACCTGAACCACACAAAATGGGCCCGAGCAATGCAAGGGCTGCAAAGGGTGGCTGCTTTTCTTTCTTGTTGCATTTTTTTYCCCCTCTCCCCTCCTCTCTCTCTGTAAGAGCTGGTTGGAGCACCAGTCCCTGAACCAGACGCTGATTCATTAGATAAAATTCCTTGGCCTGCTCTGTGTGGGGAGGTTGAAGCCCGTGTCCACAGGGGTCTATCGTGTATCTCCAAGGTGCGTGGCTGCAGCCTGCCAGTTGCAGGGTTATTGCAAGCAACTTGCTGAAGTTTTGGGGAGGAGGGAAGCGGTCAGGGTGCCGAGGTTCTGCTCCCAGCCTAGGCTGGGCGGGATGAACAGGCCCAGGGTTTGTCTTTAGGTGTAGGGGCTGTAGAGACGAAAGGAGGGGGCTCCTGCTGGGCCAGTGTCCCTCCCGGGAGGGGGACGGCCTTGCTGGGCCCGCGTGTAGAAGCAGCGYGTGCAGTTCTGGAAGGCAAGGCCCGGGCTGGCCGAGCGCTTTGTGCCGCGATAGCAGAGTAACTGAGCGCTAAGCACGTCGCACAAGCTGAGCGTAGCTCAGTAKTCACGGCAGAATAGAGTGTGTCTGCCGTCGCAGGGCAGATCTTGGGGGCTACTGTGGGGACCCCCTCCCCCCCCAAATCTTGTGGGGAAAACTGCCGTCATCCATCGCCCAAACCAGTTTCTTTCCTCCTCACTTGTGCTGCTTCTGATGCCTGCAAAGCGTTAATGGGCTCCCCTGCGGCCGGCATCCGTGTCTGGGCAGAAGCTGCTGCTAAGCATTTGCCTGCAAGGCACAAATGGTGCCTGCTGGCTTGAAACACTTGTAGGTTCTCCTACGGAACAGGCTGTGGGGTGCAACTGAAGTGGCAGCGGGAATCGGAGGGGAAAATGGGTGCTGGGCGAGTTGGAGGCAGCCTCGGGGTGTCCTCCCGGCGCAGCCTCGCGGAGGCCGGGGCCTTTCCTGACGCTGGCGGGATCTGGGGCAGCCGTCCTGCCCAGACCCCAAGAAAAGAGGGTGCAGGGCAATGGTGCTGTGAGCGGGCGAAGGGGACACAGCTCCGGCAGTAATGACAGGCGAATGCTGCTCTCACAAGGATTGTACTACAAGGTGGGATGAGAGCCGGGATGTCACTGAAATAGTGTTCTGGTCTGGTTTGATCCAGTGCACCACGCAAACACCTAGGATCTAGTTATTTTAGTTTATCCAGGTCTAGACAAACTGAAACACGTACACAACTGGAACCAGCTACAAAGCTAAAACACCCTTTCCTTCAGCAGCGAGTTAGGTCATGTTTCAAAACAATGACTAAGTGCTCTATTTTAACAGATTACTTTTTCAGGTCCGAAATACACAAATGCAATGCATTGGTATCTGATAAAACAGCTGCCACAAAACTTAATTTTTCTGAAGTTCTGCTAATTCTGCCTGGCTTTATGCAATAAACTATAACCCTGTCTGAATTTTAATAAGGCTTATGCATTCCCAGCAGCCTGCTCTCTTGTTTGGAAGCAGGAATTTTACCAGCACTCGCATGGATTTTGCTCAGAACCTTATGATGATTAAAAAGAAATGAATCATGTGCTTGTGGCTGAGCAGGGTGAAGCCCTGTGGMAGCCTGTGGGAGCTTTGCAGATCCGAGGAATGAGCAACCCCTTTGCAAGGGGGCTGCTTTTCRCGCCGCTGGTCCAGATGGCCGGCGTTGCGTCACGGCTTGAAACCACCCCGCAGAGGTCCTGGTGTCTCTGCTCTGTTGTAAATATCTCCCTTAAAGTTTGCACTKCTGGAGAATGTGCTACGTGCTGAGGTAGTTTGTATGAGTACGAGATAAAACAAGATCCCTGAAATTAGTCATAACAAAGCACTACTTTCACTTTCCTGGTATAAACAGCACCTTGTATATATTACAAAAGAACATGATTTTGCTCACCCAGGAATGCTTTCTGCTGACATCCAAGGCAATGCTAAAAGTTTGCAAGAAACCCTAATGAGGGCAATTTACCTCAGTGCCAAGAGGCCTGGCATGCCCCACGYGCTGCAGTTCATCCTTCTCAGCGTAGAAGGTGGCTTTAGTTGGGTGTCCCGTGTTTCCCCTGTCCCCGGGGGTGCCCCCAGGCGTGTGCAGGTCCTGACTTGTATGAGGTGGTTGTAGAGTCAGGTTGGCTCTCGAGGCCTGAATCGGCATCAGGACCAGCCTGCTCACAGCTGGGCCTGTGAAGGCATCTGACCCGGCTTGCTAGCCAAGGCAAGGACAAGGACAGCCAAGGCTTCGGCAGGGACACGTGTCCTTGCCTAAACGTCAAGGACGTTTCAGCAGAGGGCACATCACAGCTGCCCGCTTGGCGCCAAAGAGGGGCTGGGGCACCTTGCAGCTTCGCTCTCCCTCCCAGCCTGGAGACTGTGTGTGTGCAGGGGCTTGGTGACTGCAGTGGGGGCTTTGCGTCTTCCTGTTGCCTTTTATTTATTTAACAAAAGCTTTGTTTACAAACATGTTCCTCTCCAGGCTCTCTGGAAAGCTGCTGACGGTGCTGTCCCTTAAACATCGAGGTTGCAAGGGAAATTATACACTATTTCACAAAAAGAAGCAATCTCAAAATTGTGCCTCTTGCGCTCCGCAGCGTGGCTTGCTCTGTTCTGATGGTCGAGGCTCAATAAATGGTTCAGCTTTCTCTTAGGCTTTCTCTCTGTCTTACGTGACTGAAGTAATGCGCCGTGCTTCCCACCGCGGTTCTGCTGCTGCTRTGGGAGGGAGGCTGCTGTGACAACCTGCTGCCGGCGGGACGGAGCGGAGGCTGAAATGGAGGACCCGGGAGGAAGGCAGCGTGGCCACTGCAAAACCACAGTTTGCTTTCCCTTAATTTAAGGGCTATCACCAAGTTGTCCAAGAAGAGCTTTATGTGAATTACTTATATATTACAAGGGCACCTGATGACAATTTGCAGGTTATCTTTGCAGTTCAAATGAGATGAATTTAAGAGGATCTCTCTAGAGTGAAGACAAAAGTCGAGGGGCAGGCATGCAGCGCAAAGTGCTGCGAGTCCGGTAGCCAAGCACACGTTTGGCTAATTAACTGACWGGAGAAGTGAATTTATTTAGTTATTTATTTTTATTTTAGCACATAAGTCTCCTGGGAAGAGAGGGCTGCATGTGCGAGTGCGAAAGCTCCCTGCTTCCTTGCGTTGGCTTAAGGCTGGAAAAGCCCTGGATTGTTTTGACTGGAGGAAATGGAAGTTGTGCTTGTGCGCCTTACCCGGAGAGATAATGAGTCATGTGTTTCAATGGCTGAGCAGCCATCAACAATTCCAGTTCATTATCTAAATGTCTGATTTGGCTGCTGAGCAGTGAGTTTCCAGGATTTAATTTTCTTTCCTCAGATTTCATTACCTTCTTAGGACTGAATTGATCTCCTGAGGAGAAATGCCGGGGATTATAAGGGATGTGGATGCAGACTCCTAAATCAGAACGTCTGCGAATTCTAGGACAAAGCCCATTTTTAGATGCCTGACTTTCTTTCATCGCTCGCCTCTCTTCAGCAAGTCGTGCTGAATAGGTCCGTGCTGTACTGTGGACATGAATGCCAATAGACTCCTCTGTATAGACAAATTCCTTTAGTGCTGCAATCTTGGCAGAAGCACCGGGAGCTGATGAA